TTATGAGCTCCGAGTCACCGAGAAAACTTGGTCAGATGTTAGCAGCTTACTTCCCTGAGGAGGATGGAAGCGTTACATACGTAAGGTTCAAAAACAACGAACCTGGAATTGCGTACAAAATTCGCAATTACATGACCATGGAAGAGTACGAAAGGTTCCTACAAGAGAAACCAGCTCTAAACAACTCAGAAAAGAAAGAATAAAAAGTTTAACTCGTAATTGTTTATTTTTTACTTGTATGGGCAAGCTGCAAGAATGAAGTCGACTATCTCAGTCTTGTTTTGACGAGCTGGACGGCTCTTGCGAGTACGTCTGTTTTGCGGTCTCCAGCTGGTGTCTGACCTTCGTAATTGCGCATGTTCTTGAGAGCTCCAACTGTAAATGGTTGTAGGATGAAGAGTCTCTCAGACTGCTTGAGGTAGTCTTCACGGTCACGAACCGAATCTGTGGTACGAGTCGAATCGGTCGATTTGAGGGAAAGAGTGAGAGCCTGTCTTCTTCCATTGGGGTAGTAGCATACTCTTTGCGTAAGCGGTTCAGACCTTCCTCGAACTCTTGGTCTCTCTTGGATTGAGATTGGAATTGTGGGGCAGGGTTTTGCATAAACATCCAAGGGTTGGGGAAGTAAGGCATAGGCAGAGGAGGTAGTTCGGGAAGCCTTGTGGTGGGTAGTAACTTGAGGTGGAAATTGGTAGTAAATCGGAGGTACTTGCTGGAACTGAGGTGCAGGGGCTGGTGCTTTAGGTTCCTCTGGTTTGGGAATGGACTGGTTGGTGGTACGTCGACATTTGTTCTGAAACAGTACAAGACTAGTTCAAAAGTACTAAGTTCTGAAAAACAAGTACAGCAGTATATTGTTCTGAAAAAGTACAAGTATTGTTCTGAAAAAGTACAAGTATTGTTCTGAAGCAGTACAAGTATTGTTCTGAAAAAGTACAAGTATTGTTCTGAAAAAGTACAAGTCTTGTTCTGAAACAGAAAATTTTTCTCACAAATTGAGAGCTTTTACGGGAAATTTGTTCTGAAAAAGGACAAGTATTGTTCTGAAAAAGTACAAGTATTGTTCTGAAACAGTACAAGACTAGTTCTGAAACAGTACAAGTATTGTTCTGAAAAAGTACAAGACTAGTTCTGAAACAGAACAATGGACAACATCGAGCCATTAGATGAGGCAATTTACCTTATAGAGATAAATGAAGTTGTTAAGCAGTACTTGGGCAAGGACAAAGCCAACAAGTCCCTCGGCTGCTGGTTGTCTGGAAGAGGTGCGCTGAAAATCGAAATTGAAACCGGAATTCCAATTCAAATACCAGAAAACACTCCTGTAGACGACATAAAGGAGATGAAGAAAGAAGCTCTTCTCAAGTTCTTTGCAAAGCGCCCATGGATACAACTTCCAAACAGAGAGAGTCCAATTCCACGAATTATACAAATTCTCAGAGCACTGTTCCACTTCTCAGGACGGCCGTTCTTCATAACCTCAGAAGGCGACATCCAACCAGTACTGTAAACCTTAACGTTTAGAGTAAAAACATTTTTTTTTTCATTTTTTGAATGAAGCAAGTTAAATTCGTCCCACACCAATCTCAATGGACCGATGAAGAGTTTCAAGCCATCGTTGAAGACGTTGAGAACGACATAGACGGCGAACTTAAAGGAGCTCAAATCACAATTGCAACCAAAATTGCAGAGGTCAAGGAACAGATAGCTCCACTTAAAGCTACCAAAGCTACTCTTGACCTCATGGATAGTTACCGTTTAGATGTCAAGAGTGGAATAAGACAATTAAAATTAAAACTTCTAAACTACGAAGCTATACTCCAAAAGTTAGCAGAAATGAGAAGACTTTACCAGAGCTACTTACATGTAAGGGACTTACCTTCAAGCAGTCCGACCAAAGATGAATTTGTTGACATTGTCCCAATTTTGTCCGAAAGTCAGCTCAGATGTTTCGAACTGCTCCCAACATATCCGGAATATGAACGTTTGCCTGAACTCTTTCGGTTCCTCAAAAAACGTTTTTTGGTTCTCATGTTCGAAACTTTTATCGGAAGAGACAACAAACGTTCAGAAGAAGAACAAGATATTATTTTAAACTTGTTGTATGACATAACTGTCATAACAAGCTTTTTGAAGTAAAACCGCCATTCTCAAACCACTTCATTTTTTCGATGTCCGAACAAGCACCGAAGCCAAACTCAATGGCAGATGTCCTTTCAAGGTTGCCAGACAAGCGCCCAGTTCAACTTCAAATTGCCCAATTGAACGCTCATCTGTCAAACACCATTAAGACTCTCCAAAGTAGTCTTATGGAAGAGATAACCAATCTCAAAGTCGAAGTCCTCACGAACCAAGGTTCCAATAAGAAAGTCCTGAACGATTTCGCGGAAACCTTGCGCCAATACAACATAGAGAACCAAAACCTTGCCCGACTCATCTACCGTTTCTTCGAAGAGATAGACGCCATCTGGAAGGTACTCGGAAAGGACAGAACATGCAACACCGTACTTCGTGAACACAGAATTGCCGAAGGTATTATCAAAGAAGAGGAAGAAGAGGAAGAAGAAGAAGAGAAACACGAAGAAAAGGAAGTTTGGGCAACCCTTGTTGTCGATGACGCTTACGAAATTTCCCAACCCTACCCATACAAAATCCGCAACAAGGCGACAGGCAAGGTTCTTACCCCAGTCCTCAACAACTTGGGACACTTGAACCTTAACCTTCGGAATCGCGGTTCAATTTCCATGGGCAAGCTTGTCGCAATTCAATGGGTTCCAAATCCAGACAAGAAGACGAGGGTCAGACACATTGACGGTGACAAGCTCAACAACCGTAAGGAGAACCTCGAGTGGTTCTAAGAGTAAAAAAATTTTATTTTAGGGGGAAACCCCAAGTAAATTTAGGTGTTTATTTGGATAAGTATGTTAAATTAAGGGTAATTTGCAAAATTAGTTCCCGACCTTTGAATTGGGCTCTTTCGTTATCCCAGTTGCGTAGGAGGTCGTCCCAGAGGAGTTGGTAGAATTGCCAATCCAAGGACGATTTGTCCTCCCAGGCATTGAGGATGTACTGCTCGTAGAGTTTCATGACCTCTGCCTTGCACCAGACACCCTCTCCCTTGGAACGTAAGGCTTCTTCGAAGTGCTCGAATGCGATTGGCTGTGTGACCATCCGAAATGACACTTTTTGTCCGTTTGGTCAATGTTCGTGTCTCGTGCCATAGTCGACGAAAATACAGACAAACAGGTTATATATGAGTTTGAGACCAAGAATGGTGTAACTCGACCTGTCCGATTCAAAGACTCCGAGGGCGACCATGAAATTAAACGGAAATTAGCTAGGAAGGAATATAAAAATTTTTTATTTCATGCAATGTTTTATTTCTGTGCCGTCTTCAAGTATGCCCCAGTACTTACGCTTGGAGAGGACATGAACTTCGGTGAAAATTTTGTCCAATTTGAATTGACCCATCTTCTCACCGACTAAACCCATTTCAATGAGTTTGTTGTACCCTTCTTCGTTCGTCATGAGTGCGTCAATGTTCTCATAGTAAACCACAACTTTCGATTTGACTTCGGAGAAGAATTTGTTGTAGTTGTCAAGGACTGCCTTTGCGAACTGAGGGTAAGACCAATGTTCGACAATAGGTTTTAATGTGGTTACTAAGCCACTTTGACCTTGAGTGAATTCGTACTTCAAAACAAAAGGAGAAAACCTTTCAACAAAGTTGTCGACCTTCTCATAATGTTTACTCTTCATCTCTTGAGGTTTCTTAATGGAATATCCCCATGTCGAATTCATAAGCAATTTGAGTGTCATTGCAAGTTTGGGGTTGAAGCTTTCCTAATATCATACAGTTGTTGTATGACTTTTCCAACTGTATAGTTCCTTCCCGGGAACTCACCATCTTCGTTTGGAATTCCAGTCGGAATATATTGGACAAACCTCATGTATGCAGCGTTAAGGTCGACATAGTATATCTTTTCGTTTGAGTCGAACTTGTCGCAACCAATTGGTCCAGTTTGTGGAAATTCAAGTGAGTCTCTTATCTTCTGAGAAACTTCTCCTGTTATCTCATAAACATCGTCGAAGCAACCTGTTTCATATAAAACCTTCTGACCTAACTCAGATGCTCTCCAATACAATTTGACGTCAATTGGATGTCTCAATGGAAGTTTGTTTATAGCATCTTGAAGTTCTTGCAACCTCATTGGAAGTTCTTCTGGTTCAGGTTGGTATCCGAACATCCAACTCCTTGTGGAATGTGTACTTCTTTTGTACTAGAACTTTGTCTGGAACAACTTTTGGTCTTGCTAACAGTGAAAAGTTTGTTTCGTCTTTTGGTACAAAAGTTTCTGTCAGCTTGTCATCTGGAATTGGTTCCAACAAACCTTTCTCGAAAAGAATGTTTACAGCTCTGACAATGTTGCACTTGCCTTTTCCGAACAATGGGTTTGTAAGACTTTCGTTCAACATGAAGTGGTTGTGGACAATTACAATCTTCAACCATGGTAAGTCTTTGTCAACAACATAGTCGTCATGTGAAGAACCTTTAGCTGTAGGTATGCTGACTCGGATATTGACATTTGCCAACGGTGCAATTTTTGCCAATTGACCTCTGAGAATGTACCTTGTCTTCACACATGACTCAAGATACTTCATCTTCTCTTCTGTAACAAGACCAGAGTTCCTGAGACATGTAAGAATGCAAGGTTCGTTGACAATTGTTTCAATTGAATTGTAAATTCCATACCTTGTCAAGTCAATGTCAGACTTATTTATGAAGGGGAAGTATCCAGCATGTTGTCTGACTGCTTGAGGGTTAGGTTGGTACCATTCGAACTTGACACTTGCAATTCCTTCAATTGCATTCAAAATGTCTGAGTCGGAGTCAACCATTTGTTCTCTCTTTGTAGTCTTGAAAGCGTCAAGAAGCATTGCAGCTGTTGTGACATTGCCATGTGCATAGTAAATGTGACCATCCAAATCTGTTATGGTCAATCTGAGATTGTATCCTTTCTTATTTCCATCTTGAATTGCAGCAAGTACTCCCATGAAGCCTTCTTTGTTCTTTCCTTCGTCAAAGTTTACTGTAAAGGTTCGACCAGATGTAATTTGACTTCTAACTTCACGATACTTCTCATATGCATATCTTGTTCTTTCCATGGGAGCATGACCATCCTCTGCACTACCTTTTTTCCTTCTCAAAGGATGCAATTGTTCGTCATGTTTCCAGTAGAATCTGGCAAAGCCGTCGTGTCCTTCAACTTGAGGTTCACTAACATCGAAAGGCATGTCCATAAGACGTTCTTCTTCTAACCTCTCTAGTCTGTTTGGATAATTGGCACGTGCTGTTTCCAAATCCATTTCGTAGCGAAGACCAGACAATTTGTCATAGACTTTTATGGGTCTTCCCTTCCTATATTTAAAATTCTTCGAAACTCTCCAACCATATCTTTGCAACTCTGCTTTTATTCTAGCAGATTTTCTATCCATTCTATATGGGGGCATTTTTATAAAAATAAAAAAATATTTTTCTTTACTTTACATAACCGCCTGCTGCCATAAGTCTTTGACGCCAACCCATACCAGCTAATGAAGGTTGACTTGGTTTAGTTTCCAAACTAAACTTTGGTTTTGGTTTATCTTCAGTTTTTGGTTTTTCTTCTTCTATCGGTTTTTCGTCACTTTTCGGTTCCTCTGACTTTACTTCACTTGCAGGAACAGTTGTGTCGTCAACATCTTCATAAATATCATATGCCATTTGTTTTTGTTTTCCTTTCAACTTTTTGTGTTTGTTGTAAAGTTTAGAATATTTCGACTCTAAGTCAATGAGATGTTCTATAATGAACTGTTGGTCAGTGAAGTAAACTTTTCCATCTGTTGTCTCGAAAGCTCCTTCAGACTTCAATATTTTATTTGTGAGAGTCTGTTTCTTTTTTGAGATACTTGCCGTTCCATTTTTATGAAAAGTGACTTTGTAGTTAGGGTTTGTATTTCCAGACCTGGCACTTTCTATTATTGAATTTTTCTCTTCATCTGTAAGTTCTTTGACAGGTTTTGACAATGGTTCTGAACTTTTTGTTTGTGGTGTCAAATCTACCGTTTCAACTTCTTCGGTCATTTCATCTCAGTAAAAAATTTTAGTTTGGTTTGTTTTCAACTGGTTGTTGTTGTTTTTTAAGTCGGTCTAAAACTTCCTGAGGTATAGGAAGAACTTGACAAACACGTTGTGTAACTGCTGGAAGCCGACAAATCCATCTTGAACCCATTTGTCTCAATGCTGTATTGTTCATTTCATCTCAGTAAAAAACTTTACATTCCCCACGTTTGAGGCGGTTGAGGTTGGTTATTGTTTACCCATTGTTGTGCATGGTTATATCCTCTGTTAAAGAATCTTTCACCTTGGTCCATATAGTGTCCTGCTTGGTTATAGTAGTCATTTGCTTTGTTATAATAGTTTCCTGCTTGTCTTCCTACATTGTCCATCATCCTTGAACTTTTCCTCTTGTTCAGGATTTGGAATAAGATTTGTTGCATCTCGTGCTACATCCCAACCTTTCTGTACAGTTTGTATAATAGGTTGTGCTTTCTCTTTAAGTATACCTAATGTACTCAAAATCTTCCTTCCAACTCCAAATACACCTCTGGCTATTGTTCCCACTGCGGGCAAAAATCTGGATGCAACTCCTGCTAATGCGCCAAATAAACCCATTTCTTATAGGATAAAAAATGACGAATCCAAACAAGGACCCCTATGTTTCTAAAGCGACAAAGAAAGCACTCATGGTAAAAATCTTTAGTTCAACACCAAATGCTTGGTTTATGGATATCTTGGAAAACATTCCGAGAGTTAGAAAGATGGACCACCATACTGGCTAATATTTGTCGGTCAAAACACAAGATACTGTGAAGCCATACCATTATGGTCCAAAAATATTTTAGATGTGAAAACTGCTTTGACAATATTCGTTGACAAATACCATCCAACAAAACTGACATCTGACTGTGAAAGTTCTTTCAAATCAGATGATGTAAAAAACTATCTGCGTTCAAAAAATGTAAACCAATATTTCATTGTCGACCAAAACCATTCTGCTCTTGGTGTCATTGACGGTTGTATAAAAATGTTAAGAGACTTAAACCAACCACAAGGTGGTGAAGCAAATGAAATGTCATATGACGACAAATATAGACACTTCTCCATGGCAAAGATGAGACAAGTTTTAAATATTTACAATAGCCGTAAACAAAAAGGTTTGGGAAACCACTCCCCGAAGAAATGAAAAACAACCCTGACTTAGAGAAAGACTATATATTTAATAATTTAGTCAAAAGAGACAAACAAGAAAGAATGCCGGGCTTCAAACTTCAGAAAGGTGACAAAGTAAAAATAGAAATACCTAAACGCGACCCATATGAAAATACTATTGACTATGACAACAATGGGAACCCTACAGGTACTCACATTCGTGTTCGTAAAAATAGAAGAAAGTATACAAGAGAATATTATGAAGTTTTAGGCAAACATGGCAAAATGTACAGACTGCAAGCAGAAGATAAAACTACTATTGTCAGACCTCGTTTCAAACTTGTCAAAGTTCAAGGTGGTATACTTTCAAAGACAGTTCCTAACAAATATAAGACAACTCCTGACGAATATGCTAAAGAAGTTGAAAATGACGACTAAGCATTTATACCATGCGTAAACTGTCATGTAAGGTGGCATGTATTCTTTACTTTGTCCCGTTGTTTGCGTATATCCTGAAACGCGATGTGTATGGTTTCCTCCTCCCTCAGTGTTACTCCAGTAACAATCTATAGCAAACTTAACGTTGTCTTTAACATCATATCCTTTACCTTTTATCATTGCTGACCAATCCCAATATCTATGCTTATGCCAACCTGCTTGAGATGTACTTAAATCTATGTAGTGACTGTGTGCAGGTAAATTTTCACCTGAAATCGTTTTACTTCCACCTGTTTCCTTTGAAGAGTTTGCACAATACAAAAACCTGTCGACTATTTGAGTCCAAGTTCCAAAACCAAGTACTACTTCTGGTCTGGTAGAGTTCATTGACGTATAAATAGAGCCTATAGGATATAATGTTTGAAGTATTTCTGTCTTTAATGTTTGAAGCTCTGTTTTGTCTGCTTTCTTGTCATATAAATCTTGAGCAGTGAATTTAGTATTATATTCATCCTTCATGACATAAACATCTTTACATCTAATGTTTCTCATCGTCGTTATGTCGTCATCCGATGTTAAACCTTGTGGAAAGTTAGGAGGTTTACAATATAATACATCCCCACCAGTTACGTCAACCGTTCCTTCAATACTTTCTATAGCAACAGTTGTAAAACTTGTATGTGTATGAGTCTTATTTGCTTTCTTCTCTAACTCATCGTTAACATAAGTTTTATCTGCTTTAAGGTCTAAACATCCTGAAACCCATCCTGTATCGGCTTTAGTTTTTAAAATCTTCGATGTCCGTTCATGGTACCAGTCAACCCTTTCTATAATTTCTTTATCTTTTTCATCCACATATTCCTTATCTGCTTTCTTCTCTAACGCACTAGCCACACAATCCTTATCCGCTTTCTTTTCAAGGCTAACGTTTAAGTCTGTTATTTCAGATATAGAATGTATGAGTCTTTTTAGAATATTCGTTTTCAGCTCTTGTCACTTCACTTGACATTTTATTGTCAACATATGTTTTGTCTGCTAGTTCAGGATGAGTATGTTCTTTTGTTGCATAAGCATTGTTAGCTCTTTCTTCTTCTTTTGCTATTGCATCGTCTACATATTCTTTGTCAGCTTTGTTGTCAACATCTGCTTTCAAAAGAATTCATTTATAGGTTTCTCGTTTAAAGTTCCTTTTGTTGGATTTATACAGACAGTATGGTTCTTATTGTCTTGAAACAGAAACTCATCTGTCATTGGGTTTAATGTCAGTTTTAAGTTTCCTTCTTTCAATGACTCAGATATCTTAGAATAGTTTGAAAAGTTTGTTGTGTTCTTATTTAGAGCTTGCATAATGAGTTGTCGGTTGTGTTGTATTTCTCTCATGGAAGCAATATCTTTCGACATTTTTATTCTAGATAAAATATGCTTTCAATAGAAAAAGAAAATTCAAGAGTTGCTACAACTAAACCATTAGATGAACTTTTTACTAATGTCGGTCAAAAGTTTGAGACAGAGACCGTAAAGCATGAAGGCTATCGTTTTGACTACCCATTAAGATGGTTAAGAGACCCATCTGTCACAAAAGCTATTGGCTTTCGTAGAATGAAGTTCATTTCAGAAGCCATACATGGTTTCCCATTTACGGTCGGTTTTGAAGTTCGATACTATAACAAAGAAAAACGTATGTATGAGAAATTTGAACAGGGAAAACTTTTACAAGTTAGTTTGCTTGTAAACTTAGAAACAACTCTTCAAGCTTTTCAAGAAAAAATAAACGATATCTATATCGAATATGCAAAACAGTATAACATTGACGAAGGAGAGTACCATCTCGATATTATTTATGACAGGAAAAATGCAACTGTTAAAATCAATAGAATAGAAGACCTTGGAGAAAACGTTTATATTTCTACAAAATATAACAACTTGGCATGGTATAGATTTATGAGGATGTTAAATCAGCCTGCAGCATATCCAGTACACCCAGACTTTTATGAAGTCGAAAACCCTAATGGAACATATGAAAATATTTTCGACCCAGATGCTATTATTGTTCATGCTTCATTTTCTGGCGCCCAAAACTCTTTCTTATGTCTGATGAATGATTTTTACGAAAAACCTACAAAGTTATACGAACCACCAAGTGGAAGTATTTCAGACTTTCAAGTATGGTTTACTACAGATGGAAGAAAAAGAATAATTCCATTATACCATGCGTTTTACTTAGAACTTAGTTTCATATACAACTACTATCGAACGGTAAAAATATAATTTTTTAATACGGTTGAGGTGTTGGATTTGGTTGCCAACTAGACTGTGGTGCAGGTTCAGGCTGTTGTATAACAGGAGCTTGTTTTCTGGTTCAGGGTCTTTAGGTATAATACCAACAAACTGACCTACTCTTTTACCAATATTTTTGACTCCGTTCCAAATTCCTCTTCCGACAGATTTTATTCCATTCCATATACCTTTTCCAACTCTTCTGAAGAAGTTTCCTATCTTACTGAAGAAACCCATTTTACTATATGTAAAAATCTAATGTCCGCCTAGTCTCTTACGTTTCCTGTTGAGTTCCATAGCATTCTTTAACTGGAGCTCATACATTCTGTTTCTCCTCTGGTAGAAAACATATTCTGGGTCAACTCCTGTGTTCGCGTCATCTGCATAAAGTTGTTTATATCCCACTTCAGGGTTTGTATAAAACTCTTTCCATCTCATATTTGCATACCATGGTGGCAAACCTAACGCAGCGTCATTTGACATGGCAGTTTGCATTTGTACATCTGTTGGCACTTGACCATAGTTTGCCATTGCAGTTTGTATTCTAACTTCATTTGGAATATTCTCTGGGTTTGGTTGTCCAGGTTGCTGTGCATTCGCTAAGTTCTGTGCGTCCATTTAATATTAGATAAAAATATCTCTTACGAGTACATATACTGAACATTTGCAGGCATTGGTTCATCTTCATATTCTCTATATCTTTCTGCCACGTCAAATAAATAAATGACACAATGGAAAAAACCTAAAACAAGTAGTCCTATTTCAAACCACATTTACTTACTAATAAAATTTCTTTATTGTGACACTTTCTCCAGTTTATAGGACCTCTCTCATATTCTATCTTGTCATATATAAACTCATAGTCATGTATGTCCTCTAACCATCTCATAACGGTTTCCAAACCACTTTTATCGGATGTAAAGTAAAAGCATGGATGGTTATGTAAAACGTCTAAAGTTTCTAAAGAGTCTCTCAAAGTCCAGTCTACTTGGTATTGAAAATCCCATGTGTTATAGAACGGTGGGTCCACTATAAAGAAAACATTTTCCTTGTCTTTATATTTTTCATACAAATCTGTCCAATGACATCTCACAAACTCTATACCCTCAATATATTTTTCTATGTCCTCTTTGAAAACATTTGTATAGTTAAGATATAAAACTTTTGACATAAGTGTTTCAATGTCATGAACTCTTATAGCACCACTATATAATAGTCTAGCAGATATACTATCCCAGTCTATATATTCTGCTTTTTTCAAAACCTCTCTCACAATATTTTTGTTATCTAATGGTATACGTTCCATCTTACCTATAGGTATCTTTTCTTTTAACTCTTTCAATATATTGTTTGTGTCTGGAATATGTTTGAGACGGTCCATATAGTTGTCGAAGTCATTGCATATAATCTTTGAGTCTGGGAATATTATATGGCACAAATGGGATATATAGAAACTTCCACCGAACAAATCTACAAATGTTAGACCATTCGGTAGTTTCTTAAGTTCTCTCAATATAATATCTTTACATTTACTCTTATTTCCAAAGAACGGTAACGGAGGTTTTGTAAAATTCATTTATATATAATAATAAAAATGTTTTTACCCGAAAAGTGACAGAAAAGTGACAAAACATGAAAACATATATAATTTGTGAAAAGCGACACATTATATAATGTTTTCGACCCAGAAGAAGGCTTCTTCCCAGAAGCAATGGAGGAAGAAGAAGAGTCCTCCGAATTCACACCAGAAGACTAACAATTTTCCGAATAAAAACTTCATTTATACTAAACATCTTCGGGGCTAGAGGGCACGAAGTGCCTGGAAGCCCCACTACCTTTTTTTTTTGATTGCATATTAAATGCCATTTAGGAAATATCCTCACTATAAACTTTTTCATATTATATGAAAGATGTGATAGAATTGTTTATTTCGTCGTAAAAAAGCTTATTAATAATATATTAAAGTTTGAATTGAGTCAAAGATATATTTCTAGTGAATACCAATGATATAGATCTCACCCATCTCTCTCTTTTTATATTGTGAAGTGAATCCAAATATGCTATTTTAATAATATATAGATGAAATTCATTGTGGAAATGTAAAACCAATTTGAAAATCAACTGTTTTTAAACTTTGACTTATAATTTTTTATTATTTATGACGTTAATTTCAATGAATTCTTTCAATATTGAATAATAAATTGAGAAGGTGCGGGTCGATTAAAAAAATTGGAGCTTTTAAAAAATAATTGTTTATAACTTTTGCACATGCATGTGATCTTCACGGGGCAGAGTTGTATAATAACGAACAAATTAGAAAAAATTTAAAACAATAAAATTTACATTGAATGTCTAGAAGGCGGGATTTGTTAAGTCTAATCCTAGTTTTTCAGCTCTTAATAAGTCTAAATCTTCATGTATTAATTTTGATTGAGGGATATCTGTTTTTTTATGATGATGTATTCTTTTAAGTTGATTTTCATTTGGCATAGAAGTTACTGGATCGCATTCTATGATATATTGATTTGGGGTGTTGCAATCAACAATAAATCTGATGATTCTACTCTTTGAAGACATGGAATATCCTAACAAGAAAAATATGAGAGAAAAAAAATTTAGATTTTTTGACTTATTTGGTGATTTTTTCAATTCATTTTCAATGCGATTCAAAAAAAATTATATGGGAACGCAATGAATGATTTCTATTATAATCATATATGAATATGTGAATGTGGCCATACCAAATTATTTGAATGGGTTTGAAATAAACTCCTTTAGCTTATCAAACGCCAACTTACTTTGAGCGGAATATTGTAATAAACAGAAATTCATCAAAAGTGACAGCTCTCAATTTTTTGACATTTGTAAATTCTAAATTGAATGAGAAAAATGAAATAATACTAAGCATAATACAATATTCTAGATTTAATTATAATTAGGAAAAAGTTAGTTTTGAGAGTACTTTTCATAGGCATATAGAATGAAATCTTCTGAAAAATAATATCACATAAACTCATATTATTTTCTAATATATAACTATTTTATATAAAAATCAAATTCAATGATCTTAAAAGCGAAGGATAAACCTCAAAATTTACGAATATAATGAGTGGAAATATAATGCTTATCTATCATAAAACCATATGAAATATCAATTTTTGCTTTACGCCTAATTTTTGACGACAATTAGCAAAAAATGTTAAATGTTAACACTCAGTCCATTTGAATATGAAAAATAAAATTGACTTTGATTAAATGTTTTTATTTATCATGCAATTCTTCTGGCGACCAAAGATTTGAATAAAAGTTCAAAAAATAAGATAGCTTAAAAAATAATATACGGTAGTGTTTACTAATAGATGAATAGTATATAAATTCTATTAAAATGGATTTGATCCAAAAAAATATATAAAATTTGATCATAAATAAAATCGTTTTAAATTACTTCTTCATTTAAATTATAACAATTATTTTTGGTTTTATATTTTTTGGATCAAATCCATTTTAATAGAATTTATATACTATTCATCTATTAGTAAACACTACCGTATATTATTTTTTAAGCTATCTTATTTTTTGAACTTTTATTCAAATCTTTG